ATGAAAAAAAACGAAAGGGGTAACACTGTCGTTTTTTTTTCGGGTCGAAATTTTGAATTTTGATATCTCAGCTCTGGAAGGGTCTAGAGCCTCCATTTTTGCACTCAGGTCAAAGTCTCACAGCCCTCTATCATAATCCAGAGTTTTGAGAAGATTGGAGAAACTTAATTTTTCGCCCAAAAAAGAAAAAAAACGAAAGGGGTAACACTGTCGTTTTTTTTTCGGGTCGAAATTTTGAATTTTGATATCTCAGCTCTGGAAGGGTCTAGAGCCTCCATTTTTGCACTCAGGTCAAAGTCTCACAGCCCTCTATCATAATCCAGAGTTTTGAGAAGATTGGAGAAACTTAATTTTTCGCCCGAAAATGAAAAAAAACGAAAGGGGTAACACTGTCGTTTTTTTTTCGGGTCGAAATTTTGAATTTTGATATCTCAGCTCTGGAAGGGTCTAGAGCCTCCATTTTTGCACTCAGGTCAAAGTCTCGTGGCCCTCTATCATAATCCAGAGTTTTGAGAAGATTGGAGAAACTTAATTTTTCGCCCAAAAATGAAAAAAAACGAAAGGGGTAACACTGTCGTTTTTTTTTCGGGTCGAAATTTTGAATTTTGATATCTCAGCTCTGGAAGGGTCTAGAGCCTCCATTTTTGCACTCAGGTCAAAGTCTCACAGCCCTCTATCATAATCCAGAGTTTTGAGAAGATTGGAGAAACTTAATTTTTCGCCCGAAAATGAAAAAAAACGAAAGGGGTAACACTGTCGTTTTTTTTTTCGGGTCGAAATTTTGAATTTTGATATCTCAGCTCTGGAAGGGTCTAGAGCCTCCATTTTTGCACTCAGGTCAAAGTCTCGTGGCCCTCTATCATAATCCAGAGTTTTGAGAAGATTGGAGAAACTTAATTTTTCGGCCAAAAATGAAAAAAAACGAAAGGGGTAACACTGTCGTTTTTTTTTTTGGTCAAAATTTTGAATTTTGATATCTCAGCTCTGGAAGGGTCTAGAGCCTCCATTTTTGCACTCAGGTCAAAGTCTCACAGCCCTCTATCATAATCCAGAGTTTTGAGAAGATTGGAGAAACTTAATTTTTCGCCCGAAAATGAAAAAAAAACGAAAGGGGTAACACTGTCGTTTTTTTTTTCGGGTCGAAATTTTGAATTTTGATATCTCAGCTCTGGAAGGGTCTAGAGCCTCCATTTTTGCACTCAGGTCAAAGTCTCGTGGCCCTCTATCATAATCCAGAGTTTTGAGAAGATTGGAGAAACTTAATTTTTCGCCCAAAAATGAAAAAAAACGAAAGGGGTAACACTGTCGTTTTTTTTTCGGGTCGAAATTTTGAATTTTGATATCTCAGCTCTGGAAGGGTCTAGAGCCTCCATTTTTGCACTCAGGTCAAAGTCTCACAGCCCTCTATCATAATCCAGAGTTTTGAGAAGATTGGAGAAACTTAATTTTTCGCCCGAAAAAAAAAAAAACGAAAGGGGTAACACTGTCGTTTTTTTTTCGGGTCGAAATTTTGAATTTTGATATCTCAGCTCTGGAAGGGTCTAGAGCCTCCATTTTTGCACTCAGGTCAAAGTCTCACAGCCCTCTATCATAATCCAGAGTTTTGAGAAGATTGGAGAAACTTAATTTTTCGCCCAAAAATGAAAAAAAACGAAAGGGGTAACACTGTCGTTTTTTTTTTCGGGTCGAAATTTTGAATTTTGATATCTCAGCTCTGGAAGGGTCTAGAGCCTCCATTTTTGCACTCAGGTCAAAGTCTCACAGCCCTCTATCATAATCCAGAGTTTTGAGAAGATTGGAGAAACTTAATTTTTCGCCCGAAAATGAAAAAAAACGAAAGGGGTAACACTGTCGTTTTTTTTTCGGGTCGAAATTTTGAATTTTGATATCTCAGCTCTGGAAGGGTCTAGAGCCTCCATTTTTGCACTCAGGTCAAAGTCTCGTGGCCCTCTATCATAATCCAGAGTTTTGAGAAGATTGGAGAAACTTAATTTTTCGGCCAAAAATGAAAAAAACGAAAGGGGTAACACTGTCGTTTTTTTTTCTTGTCAAAATTTTGAATTTTGATATCTCAGCTCTGGAAGGGTCTAGAGCCTCCATTTTTGCACTCAGGTCAAAGTCTCTTGGCCCTCTATCATAATCCAGAGTTTTGAGAAGATTGGAGAAACTTAATTTTTCGCCCGAAAATGAAAAAAAAACGAAAGGGGTAACACTGTCGTTTTTTTTTTCGGGTCGAAATTTTGAATTTTGATATCTCAGCTCTGGAAGGGTCTAGAGCCTCCATTTTTGCACTCAGGTCAAAGTCTCACAGGCCTCTATCATAATCCAGAGTTTTGAGAAGATTGGAGAAACTTAATTTTTCGCCCGAAAATGAAAAAAAACGAAAGGGGTAACACTGTCGTTTTTTTTTCGGGTCGAAATTTTGAATTTTGATATCTCAGCTCTGGAAGGGTCTAGAGCCTCCATTTTTGCACTCAGGTCAAAGTCTCTTGGCCCTCTATCATAATCCAGAGTTTTGAGAAGATTGGAGAAACTTAATTTTTCGCCCGAAAACAAAAAAAAACGAAAGGGGTAACACTGTCGTTTTTTTTTTCGGGTCGAAATTTTGAATTTTGATATCTCAGCTCTGGAAGGGTCTAGAGCCTCCATTTTTGCACTCAGGTCAAAGTCTCACAGCCCTCTATCATAATCCAGAGTTTTGAGAAGATTGGAGAAACTTAATTTTTCGCCCAAAAATGAAAAAAAAAACGAAAGGGGTAACACTGTCGTTTTTTTTTCGGGTCGAAATTTTGAATTTTGATATCTCAGCTCTGGAAGGGTCTAGAGCCTCCATTTTTGCACTCAGGTCAAAGTCTCGTGGCCCTCTATCATAATCCAGAGTTTTGAGAAGATTGGAGAAACTTAATTTTTCGCCCAAAAATGAAAAAAAACGAAAGGGGTAACACTGTCGTTTTTTTTTCTTGTCGAAATTTTGAATTTTGATATCTCAGCTCTGGAAGGGTCTAGAGCCTCCATTTTTGCACTCAGGTCAAAGTCTCACAGCCCTCTATCATAATCCAGAGTTTTGAGAAGATTGGAGAAACTTAATTTTTCGCCCAAAAATGAAAAAAAAAAACGAAAGGGGTAACACTGTCGTTTTTTTTTTCGGGTCGAAATTTTGAATTTTGATATCTCACCTCTGGAAGGGTCTAGAGCCTCCATTTTTGCACTCAGGTCAAAGTCTCGTGGCCCTCTATCATAATCCAGAGTTTTGAGAAGATTGGAGAAACTTAATTTTTCGCCCAAATATGAAAAAAACGAAAGGGGTAACACTGTCGTTTTTTTTTCGGGTCGAAATTTTGAATTTTGATATCTCAGCTTTGGAAGGGTCTAGAGCCTCCATTTTTGCACTCAGGTCAAAGTCTCACAGCCCTCTATCATAATCCAGAGTTTTGAGAAGATTGGAGAAACTTAATTTTTCGCCCGAAAACGAAAAAAAACGAAAGGGGTAACACTGTCGTTTTTTTTCGGGTCGAAATTTTGAGTTTCGATATCTCAGCTCTGTAAGGGTCTAGAGCCTCCATTTTTGCACTCAGGTCTAAGTCTCGTGGCCCTCTATCAGAATCCAGAGTTTTGAGAAGATTGGGGATACTTAATTTTTCGCAGAAAAAAAAAAACGAAAGGGGTACCACTGTCGTTTTTTTTTCTGGTCGAAAATTTGAGTTTCGATATCTCCGCTCTGGAAGGGTCTAGAGCCTCCATTTTTGCACTCAGGTCTAAGTCTCATGGCCCTCTATCAGAATCCAGAGTTTTGAGAAGATTGGGGATACTTAATTTTTCGCTGAAAAAAACAAAACAAAAGGGAAGATTGGGGATACTTAATTTGTCGCCGAAAAAAACGAAAGTGGTACCCCTTTCGTTTTTTGGACGAGAAATTAAGTTCCTCCAATCTCCTCAAAACTCTGGATTCTGATAGAGGGCCATGAGACTTAGACCTGAGCGCAAAAATGGAGGCTCTAGACCCTTCCAGAGCTGAGATATTTATAGTGGCATAAATGCTACGTGGGATCTCAATATCTCAGCTGATATGAGATCTAATATGAGAGCTGAGATATTGAGATCCCATGTAGCATTTATGCCATTATAAATATCTCAATATCTCAGCTCTGGAAGGGGCTAGAGCCTCCATTTTTGCACTCAGATCTAAGTCCCATGGCCCTCTATCAGAATCCAGAGTTTCAAGAAGATTGGAGAAACTTATTTTTTGCTTAAAACTTAATTCATTGTTATTAATCACTGCATGAATACTATGGTCTGTAAGATCTAACATTGAAATGTTTTTTTTCAATATAAATCACAAAACAGTTTTGCAAGTAATCAGTTTACTAGATATGACTTAAATATTCAAGTGTGTTTGAATGTCAATGTAGAGAATATGCATACAAATTTGACAGGTGAAAACTCTGCAAACTCTGAAACCACCCACTGCCTAAGTTTGGCTCTGTCCCAAATAGCACATTTCATAATGCACTTTCGGTCTTGTGGATTTACAATGTCTGCTGCGTGCACGTGTCCATTAAGTCCATGAGACCGTAGAGTGTCCCATTTGTCATTTTAGGTCTCAGAAGAGTGCTCGTGAGCACCCCTTTTGAAGTCGATATGTGCCCCCGATGCTAATTTTTGCCGAAACAGCACTGATGCGAGCTCTGCAGTAGACTACTTCCCAACAGTCAAAGTGGTGTTACGTCAAAGTGTGACGCAGTGCGAACTCATAGGAAGACCGCAAGTGTTTAGGGTGCCATTTGGGAAGAAGCCTATGCACCCTGGTTTGGCCTGCAATTGAAACCACCTACAAGATTTTAGTTCCATCTAGTGGCATATGGTGGAGCTGCTACTTGTCTGCAGATGAACAAGAGGACATGCACATTTATGCTAGAAAGGGAAAAAAAAACATTTGCACTAACTTTGGCTTAAGTGCTTGGTCAAGTGGTGATTGGTTTAATAATGCCATGCCACAACGGTTACCATAGAAATAATAACAAGGAATTATATATTTATTGTAACAGTTCTACAAAATTTTAAAGTCTCTTTGAACTTATGATTCCAGATTTTCAGCTTGCTGACTTACAAACAAAAAAACAACAACGGTTAAATCTGTTTCTGTGCTTTGCTTTGCTGTCCAAACTTTAATTCATACTTGGATTTGATCAGCATGTGACTTTTTTTGCTTCCCAGTTCATCCTTCCATTCACTCTCACTCTTTGACAATATCTGGTATAGTATAATCTAGTATGAAACAAATCAATGAAAGCATGAGATACCTACATCACAAAAACAGCATAAAATCTCAGCAGATGGCAGTAGTGCTCTAATTCTGCCATAAATTTCTCTGCAAAATGCAAGACCTTGAAAAACAGTGATGCTAACTGGGTAATAAGTAATGAATAAAACTCTGTCACTCAATAGAATTAAATCAAATTTAGATGGAACCATGTTCTATACTTTGTGCCTTTTTAGAGTCTTTTTAGTCTTCCTTACTTGTTGAGGGAAAAAAAAGTTTAATCCAGGCAATATTTTTTTTTTCTGGTCACCCAGCCTGTTCAAATGACAATTTCCCAAAACCTCTTAAAAACCAGACCAGCCTAATCTGACTGCGAGACCAGCTAAACATTACATGAATACACAGATACATTAAAATATAAAGGCATTTAAGGCACAGATGCTACAACCTAGACTGATTTGTTAAATGAAACCATGCCATTTGTGTTCCTTTTAGCCACACATTGAATATTTCACAGGTCTACAAATGTTCAACAGCATCTCTGAGGATAGTTTATGGCCTACCATACCCAAACCTGAATATGTGACCTCAGGTTGGTTGAGGAAACCCCCAGCTGGGTATGGATGAAGTGGGAATCTCCCTTCTCAACTTAAAAAGCTTCTCACTGCGCTGACCCTCAGTTTCTATGACATCCTGTTCCTCAAGTGATTGGCGAATGAGGGACTTGAGCAAGGGCAGTCCAAGGCCAGTCGTCGCAGAGACTGGGACGATGTGCATAAAACGCATTAGTGTTTTAGGGGTGACGTCCTCAGGAAAGATGTGGCTTGAATCTAGGGAAAGCAGAGCATCACTCTAAAAAATGTGAAGGTCAGTGCAGTGGAACTATCACATTAGGCCTTCATTTCAGCAAAATGTACTTGTGGTAGAAACTGCCAAAATGGTCAAGTACAAATCACCATTTTTTATAGAAATATTGCAGTACATACTTGTGTAAAGAATGGTCATTCTTAAGAGTACTATTAAAACAATTATATAATAAAGCAACCACTTTATTGATAAAAATATCTGTCATAATATGAAATTTCTGACTCACCCACTATATACCTAAAATAACACAAAACAAAGGCTAAGTCTAAACTAATATACATATCTGTGACTAATATTCATGATATTATCTGTATAATATTCCCTAATTACCTTGTTTGCTTCCAACAATACCTACCTTCTTGGTTCTCCAAGTGAGCTTCCAGCTCTCTGAGCTGGCCCTGAGCCTCAGGGAGGTCCATCTTATTTATGACCAGGATGGCTGGCTTGTCTAGCAGTTCCTCCTTATACAACTCCAGCTCCTGATCAACAAAATAGATCAAGAGCAAGTTTTGCAGCAAAATCTTGTATACAGACGCATTTCATTGAGAAAAGCAATTGTTTGAATTAGTTCACGTGTGTGAGTGTGTGTGTGTACACTTTACTTTTTAAAGGTTTGGGGTTGGTATGAGTTTTTTAATGTTTTAAGATAAGATGTCTCTTATGCTCACTAAGGCAACATTTAATTTATTATAAAAAATTGACTTGAAAAAAAAATGCAGTAAAACAATATTGTGAAATATTACAATTTAAAATAACTATTTTCTATTTTAATATATTTGATAACAATTTACTTCTGTAATGGCAAAGACATTTTTTAGCAGATATTATTTGCTTAGTTGGCTCTCAAGAATATTATTTTCAATGTTGAAAACAGTTGTGCTGCCTATTTATTGATTCTTTCATGAAAAGAAAGTTTCAAAGAACAGCATTTATTTGAAATAGCAATCCTTTGTAATTTTATAAATGTCTGTTACTTTTGATCAATTCAATGCATTCTCGCCGAATAAAAGTTTTTTTTTTTTCTTAACCCCAAACCTAGGAACGGTAGTGTGTATGTTTACCTTGGTTAAAAGCAGTACAGTTTCAAATGCAGACCTAAACGGGGTGTTATTAGCTAGCTGAAACCCACAGATATCGACCTGAAACAGCAGAACATGAGATTACTATAAAACTCTCCCAGTTCTTAACATTAAGTTCACAACATAACAGACTGAACGCATTACCACAAACATGAGCTGCTTGGTTCTTTCCACATGTTTGAGAAACTTGTGTCCCATGCCTTTATTCACGTGAGCACCTTCAATGAGTCCTGGTAAGTCTGCCACAGAAACCTTCAGAGAAAAATAACTTCTGTAACTCAATCTGAAGAAGTGTGAATTAAAAGAAACAACATATAATATACAATCACATTTGCTAAAGATCTGTTTAAGAAAAATGTAACTGCATATTGTAATTTTTGGTTTAAATCTTGGTTTAACTGTATATTTTAATTTTGGTTTAATTATCTTTATGGGAGAAGGTCAAAACCAAGCTTGTCAATCAGTATGCAGAATAAATTTAATTTAGCTATATCCTTATTAAACACAAAGACTCTTCACACAATGTGGTCTTCTAAACAGGCATGCCACTATTGTAACTACATTAAGTAATGACATCATAGCATCCTGAAATGAATGAATATGTATATGAGTTCAGCACATTTTGAAGAGCATTTCATCCTACCTGCTTGTGGTCATCATACATGATCTTTCCGATTTCAGGTCTTAAAGTTGTAACTAAGGTGGGGGAAAGGGGATGATTGTAAAAACAGCAATAAATATCATATATGCAACATTCTCCCACTTTCAGCTGTTTTTTTCCTGAAAATTTCTTATTATGAGTAAATATTTGTAAGAAAATAAAAAGATTTAACAACATTTCACAGACATTTGACGAAAAGAAATGAAATGTGTCCCTGAAAGGGAGGCCAATATCAAAAGCAGCAGGTGGTATCTGTGTGCCTAGCACACTGTGGACTATGACATGTTCACACAGGTGATTAGGGACCCTGGGCATCTTTCTCATGGTGTTTGTCCAAAGACAGCGAAAAGGTATCTTTAAAGTTATTGAATAAATGAATGAGGCACTTTATATAGCGCTATCAAATGTACTACTGTACATCCAAAGCGCTTTACATTCATATCAGAGGATCTCTCCACAACCACCACCAGTGTGCAACATTCACTTGGATGATGTGATGGCAGATACAGAACAGTGGCACCAGTGCATTCACAACACACCAGCTATAGGTGGACAGGAGAGAGTGAAAGAGCCAATTAAATGGATGGGGATTATTAGGAGCCAATGGGGGAAATATGGCCAGGACACCAGGGTTACACCCCTACTCTTTACGAGAACTGCCATGGGATTTTTAATGACCATAGGGACAGAACCTCGGTTTAACGTCTCATCCGAAGGACTGAAGTGCTTTTGTAACAGTGACCTTAATTTTCTTTTGGACTTTTCCACAGGTGCATGTGCAAAAATTGTTTATGGTTCACTGAAAAAGCATGAAAAACATTGATTAAACCCTTTTCAATAAAGAGCTGTACTTATTTGGATTTTTACAAAATTATCTTTGAGATACAGTCTCCTGAAAAAGGGACATTTCTTTTTTTGCTTAAGATGGATAGATAGATAGATAGATAGATAGATAGATAGATAGATAGATAGATAGATAGATAGATAGATAGATAGATAGATAGATAGATAGATAGATAGATAGATAGATAGATAGATAGATAGATAGATAGATAGATAGATAGATAGATAGATAGATAGATAGATAGATAGATAAACTTTTCACTACATTGTTTTAATTTGTTACTGATTTTCAGTACTCACAGGGATAGCTGGCAATCATTGGTTTAGCATGAGACAAGGCAGTCAGCAAGGAGGATTTGCCTGCATTGGGAAACCTGTCAAAATAATACAAGCCTATCAAACCTGTAAAAAATGTTTGATGTGTGTGAGTGAAATACACAGAAAAACAATATAACACAAGGAGGGTCACAAAGAATGACACATAGCAGTTGTATGACTTACATCACAATCAGAAAGTATTTACATACCAAGTATAGTTGAATTATGCATTATATTTTTTGTGCAATTTTCCTACATAATGTATAGCACGTTATGTGCTTTACTTTTGACAACAATACTTCCCACCCAAGTCAACATTCTGTGTAGAGATTCTCTCACCCTACAAGTCCAAGATCTGCAATGAGTTTAAGGTCCAGCCGAATCTGTCTGGTTTGACCTTTACTGGGTAAGAACCCAGAGTGAAAAGAGCCACCATGACCACCTCTAGCCACCAAAAGTCTGTCTCCTTCACAGTTCAACTCCCCTAAAGTGAAAAGAATAAAATGTTCAATGACACAGAGTACACTGTTGTCCCTTTTCCACCAACTCTTTGATGGACTAGAACCGTTCTTTTACCATGTTGCTTATGTCGGGGGCCAGGGCGGGTTTCTGTGAACAACAACATGACTGGGAATGGGATAGCTAATACGTATGGCGACATACAAAGTGATGTAACGACGTCGTTCGCTGGGCTCTCTAGTCAGTGGAAAAACAAACAGGTTTTGAGAAGGTTCGCAAGTTGAACCAACTTTGAACCAGCACCAGTTCTGAGCCAGTCCTTTTTTTTGGTGGAAATGAGGTATGTGAAAAGGAACAAACAACACAAATTGGCATTTGATATAAAAGTTCAAATGTGAGAGAAAATGTGTAGAAAAACATCAAACAAAGAAGTGAAGTGATATGAGGAATGTGAAAGGAAAACACTGGATGATCTAGATGTTATAAAGAGGAGTAAATGAAATTACCTAGTATTCTCCCCCCATCCGTTGTGACACTGATCCCAGTAGGTGCGAATACCTGGATGTCCTCTCCTTTCGCCCCTCTCAGAGCATGAATACTGACAAACACACCACACAAAACTTAGTCAATAAACAGCTTTGTGTGAGAAGAAGTCCAAAAAATATGTGTTTATTTACTGCCTTGCGCACATTCTCTTAAATGAAACATACATATTCTGCACATTTAAATCTGAAATGATAAACATAAAAATTAAAGAAATTGTCCACAAGAATCATCTCCTCCTGGTTTGTTCACTGTGCTGATTTTCTGGGTGCATGCAAACAATGAAAACATTCTTGCATTTATCATTATCTGAGCAGCTGGAACGCAAACATATTTAATAAATAACGACAAAGTGTTCCTCACAAAACTTTAGACGTGCACTACTTTGATTTATGGAGCTTGACATTTGGGTTTGCAGTTTCGTTTCGTTACATGGAAAAACATATTCTGCTAAATATCCTGAAAGTTTAATAGACTATTTGATAGCAACTATTTAAAAGATTGTGAATGCATCCTCAGCATGGAGCTAGTAATCCTTCACAATATCAGAACAATATAGACCTCCTTACATCAGATTCACCAGACAAAAGAATAACACCTCCTACAATGCATCTGTTTTAGATTTCTCACTCCAACACAATCAATCAATCAATCAATAGGAGAGATTGCACAATCTGTTACTGCAAAAATAGAGCCCTGTGACATGACACATGCTGCGTCCCAATTCGCTTACTTATACTATGCCCTAAAAGTATGTACTCTTTTTGTGAAGAAAAAGTACATACTTTTGAGTATGTAGCAAAAGAGTAGGCAAGCTTTGGACATACTATCACGTCATCTTTAACGGACGGCTCTGTCGCGTGCTGCGTGCATCCTGTCACGGCAAACTGCCTTGTCAATCATCTTGTCACAGTTAAAATCCTCCATTCAATCTAATTTGATTTTCTACCGTCTCGGAGAGTACGTTGATCTGCCAGTCGTGGGTCTTTCATGCCTCGTGTTTGCAATTTGAATATAATGATGCATTTAAAAGGTAATGGTTAAACATATCTTTACAAAAGTTCACAATGCTGCTGCAGATGTGGACACCATTGAATAAATTCATTTTCGTTAGGTTAGATAATGATAATTAATCACTCAAACCTCTTTATCTAAACCATGAACCTCTCAACATAACCGCAGGACTCGAACGTCCTCCATGTCTGTAGTTTCTTAACACTTTTTACTCGTGTTTGTAGTCCCAACCGAATCCTCGTCCAACGCGTGATGGTTTGTGGGCAATATCAGCCGTTAAGAGTGTGCAACGATCTACACTTCGGATTCTGACTGGAAATTGTAGACCATCCGTGTCTCTTTAGAACACTCATTTCAACATACTACGATTGGGGATGTACTTATTTTCGAATACTATTTAGGACGTATAGTATGCGAATTGGGACGCAGTTTGAATGTCAGAATGGGAAAGAAAGGTGATTTAAGCAATTTTGAGCGTGGCATGGTTGTTGGTGCCAGACGGGCCGGTCTGAGTATTTCACAATCTGCTCAATTACTGGGATTTTTAATTCACAACCATTTCTAGAGTTTACAAAGAATGGTGTGAAAAGGGAAGAACATCCAGTATGTGGCAGTGCTGTGGGCGAAGATGTTGATGCTAGAGGTCAGAGGAGAATGGGCCGACTGATTCAAGCTGATAGAAGAGAAACTTTGACTGAAATAACCACTCGTTACAACCGAGGTATGCAGCAAAGCATTTGTGAAGCCACAACACGCACAACCTTGAGGCGGATGGGCTACAACAGCAGAAGACCCCACCAGGTACCACTCATCTCCACTACAAATAGGAAAAAGAGGCTACAATTTGCAAGAGATCATCAAAATTGCACCGTTGAAGACTGGGATGTGGTGGAACGGGAGCTTTGAGCCCTGGATGTGCATCCCACAAATCTCCATCAACTTCAAGATGCTATCCTATCAATATGGGCCAACATTTCTAAAGAATGCTTTCAGCACCTTGTTGAATCAGTGCCACGTAAAATTAAGGCAGTTCTGAAGGCGAAAGGGGGTCAAACACAGTATTAGTATGGTGTTCCTAATAATCCTTTAGGTGAGTGTAAAATATACATGACACACAAAAATATCTTATTGTGGATTAAAAACATAATAATATTTTGAAAAGACCAAAAAAAAACTATTATATTATGCCTACAATATAAGAAATTCCTTCCTAATATTGCCATTCAGAGGTATTACTGACCATTTCTCTCACCCTTACAATTTTTCTAAGAAAAAAGAACTCACCTGCTGTTTGAACCAACACCTGCAGTGAATCGTTTGTTAGGGTGTTTGTCCTTGATTTGCTTCAATGTAGTGCCTTTTTTAGCCACCACACTAACGTCTCCACCATTTCCCCCATTTCCCCCTAAACGGGGCAAACCCATTCCTCCACTTCCACCCCTCACATACAGCCGTATATTATCCACAAAGTTGCCATACTGAAATAAAAGAGATGCCGAATTAGTTAAGTTCACAAAACTGTTTATTTCACTTTTGAAAGCATGGATATTTTCAAGCATAAAGATTTTTATTTCTCTAGTGTTGACAGTACAATCAAAAGTATCTTCATTTGTGTTCTGAAGATGAACGAAGGTCTTGGTTTGGAATGACATGAGGGTCAGTAATTAATGACAGAAATGTCCTTTTTGTGTGAACTAACAATTTAAAGTCACGTTTTGCGTTTGTGGTTCAGATAAATCATACATTTCACATAAATGATGTCCCATTTGAAATGTGACCTGAGTGAGCAGAAAATAGCTACGTCTTGAGCATGGTCTAGAGTCGAGGAAGGAGCTTAACTACAGACTCAAGGCACAAACGCTTTGTCAACATTACGCACGGTGCACTTTGCAGCATGCTAAATTTCATTAAAAAGTGTGGTCTGGGCGCATGAGGAAAATGACCTATAGCCTGGGCTACTTATTCACGTCATCACACAGCTGCTAGCCCTAACCATAGTGAGATTTGCCAATAAACGCATTCATTTGTGAAAATAGTCCTATAGCCCCCATTTCACCACATGATGACAATATGGTAAACAAGTTAAGTGTGTTTGTGACAGTAATAATCATATAGTAATTCGTTACACGATCTGTTCATGACACAAAAACTGAGCATGTGAAGGTCGGGCCACCTATGACTTCCTAAATTTCATTCTGTATATTTGCCAACGTTACTAACCTTGCGGAAGCAAGCTCTGCTTGTCCAGACCATCCCGAAACAACTCCTCAAATCCGATATTGTCCTGAACTGGCACACAATCTATCCGTTATTAGTTACAACGTTGCTGATTCTGCAATTGCTGGATCAAACACGTGTGTGCTTCCGGAAACATGGCGATGTGTGCTGTGATTGGTCGAAAGTGCTGATGTTTCCGCCTCTCCCAGTCATAACCTATGGTCATAACTAAACTGAAAAGTAAACAATAAATAAATACATTAAACGTTTATTTACTTTTTTCTCATGATTTCGCTATATAATTCATAAAATTATATTATAAAATAGAATAGCATTGTTCTAATAGGGGCACGTAACGCAGTCTTGGTATGGCAACTAGTAAATAAACTAAGTTTCATCATGCTAGCATGAAGTATTTAAAACAAAAGTGTTACAACTAGCCCTGTTAGTTTGTGCACCGCTCACCCCTAGTTAGCTTTATAACTTGTTTAAAAAAAAAAAACTTGATTATTTATTTCATAAGACACATACCTAAAACCTGGCAGTATAAATTATGGCACTGTGTCAGAAAACAAAACTGGCATAAGGTAAATATGAGCAAACTCCCTTTGAGAGATAATTAATATTATTATAATTACCATTGTTGAAAACTACGATTTAAAAAAAAAAAGGTGTTTAAATATTGTTGGCCCAATGTGTAAGATAAAGTGGGCATGTGGGATTCAGGTGAAGTGGGCGACCTTTACACTTCATTATACTCAAATTAATTAGGCAAAACAAATTGACATTCACTGGTTATTTTGGCATCTACTTTTTAGAAAACAGAAATTGAGTCTGTGCCATTAGGAAATTCAAGTCACAGATGGAAGAAAGGAAAGAAAGAGCAGTATAAGTTATAAGTTAAATATAATTAAATAAATTCAATCTATGGAGTGAAGAAAAGATGAGAGGAGGAAAATGTAGATGAAGAATATAAAGTTTCATAGTATTTATACAATTTATGTTCATTTAAATTGTATATACAGGCAGCATTTTTGATAAATCAGGATTTTTCTAATTTATCAATAAATTTTACATGACAATAAATGTCTGGATTGCATCATCCTTAAAGGGATAGTTCACCCAAAAATGAAAATTAAGTCATTCCTCACCCATGCTGTACCAACCTCGTTAGACCTTTGTTCGTCTTTGGAACACAAATGAAGATATTTTTTATTAAATTTGAGAGGTGGATCACTGCTACATAGGCTGCCTAAGGGATCAAAACTTGACGGCCCAGAAATTCAATGAAGAAAATGTTTAAAAGTATTTGTGTCGCTTGATAAACTTATACTTGAGCCACTGTAGTCACATGGAATATTTAAACATTTTCTTCAATGACTTTCTGGGCCGTCAAGTTTCGACGGCATGTATATATAGCAGTGATCCACCTCTCAAATTTGATCAAAAATATCTTCATTTGTTGACCTACTTTTTGCCCTCAAACTTGAAAAGATTATTTGGTGTTAGAATGAAACCCGATCTTTTCTTGAAATCTTGGAGCCCATTTTTGGATTATTTTAAGAAGATGAGCTTTGGATAAACCCCTTTTTTTTTCCCCCTCTGGTATACTTTGTTGTTTAAATGCGTTACTGTGATTATAGACCATTTCACAAGATGTAAACAACACTGGTCCAGAAGCACTTCCTGTTTCAGTTTTTTAACACTATAAAAGCTGGGATAAAATACAACCAACAGAACATTTAAAACTGAATAAAAAAGTTAAACAAACATCTTTAAGATTTCTTCTTTACATGTAAAATAAAGAAAACAGTTACAAACTGAAACAGGAAGTGTTTCTGGACCAGTGTTGTTATACATCTTGTGAAATGGTCTATATTCATCTGCATTTGAGCATTTATTATGTTTATTTTTTTATTCCCCCCCCCCCCCTTTATTTAATTATGCAATCTGATGCTTGCCTCCCTTGCAAATAACACATTAGGCCTATATAAACTGTATTCAAATTGATAGCCTATTATATAGGCTAGCTGGACCTTAAAGTTAACAAAAGCAGGGTAATGAAAAAATTAAAAGGAAAAAACATATAGGCCTATCTAAATTACACGTGTAACAGTAAGAAGCCCACTTTAGTCACCCTGCAAAAAAAAAGAAAAGAAAAAAAGAATAGTGTATCGGTTAATCATATGCTCTACGTTTTGTGTTGCTTTGATTGTAATTTAATTGTGTTCTTCACGTCAAGAGGTTTTGAGTGTAAGTGGAATGGGCTACGGTCAACAGCATGACGTTTGAAACGTGGGCGCGCAGAGCTTTAAAAGTCTCCAGAAGTCGTAAAACACTCAGTCAAAGTCAATTATTCGCCTCAATAGTATGTCAGGAGACGTTGCAGAACAATCGCAGAAAAGAAACAACTGAACTAAACATTGTAAGTAAATTATCTTGAGTAATGCTATACATGCAGGTATTTCACTTGTTGTAGTCGGAGAAAAAGGACTTTTTTGTTGCTTTTCCAAAAGGTTTTGTTTGACGCGGCATATTTGTATGGGTCGCATAAACCGCAACAGTTTTCAAATCCTAAAAGATTTCACTGTTGATTCCATAGGTTCCAATGGAACGATTAATTGGATTCCTTGACGGCCAGTGGTTGCGCCTGTCAGTGTGTCTGCTCATGCTCGCCACCGCATCATCGGTCTTCATACCCACTCTCGAGATGCTGAATACCGAGAGGGCAGGAGGCGGCAAGACTCCCGGTCACCTGGACGAGATAAACCGTGAATGCTGGGACACATCGTCACTAGCGGTTATACAAGCGCGTAAATTACCCGTTGCCGATACGGTTTCTGGTCTCTGGGACTTCATGACATACTTGAGCGAGTCTAATCAACCCAAACATCAAGGCGTGTTCATGGGGCTGGCTCAGGTCTTTTGGGAGCGGTATGTAGACTGTGTGCTCGCTCGCGCGCACGGACTGGGCAGAAGGGCCAGTGCGTCCAGGCAAGAGATCATCAAAGTGCTAACTTTTCATTAAAAAGGGATTCAAATCTAGTCACTTTACTTTTGTTTTAATTTGAATGTTTGTCAAAATGTATAGTTTGAATGTATTTTATTCATTTGTGACTCATATCAAACTTAAATGAGTAGTTCACTTTAAAAAAAAAAAAAAAAAAAAAACTGTTGCTAATAATTTAAGCTACTCACCCCATGTCATCCAACGTGTCCATGTCTTTCTTTCTTCAGTCGAAAAGAAATGAATCTTTTTGATAAAAAAAAAAAAAAAACAGTACAGGATTTTTCTCCATATAATGGACTTCAATGGACCCCAACCGATTCAAGGTCCAAATGACAGTTTCAGTGCAGCTTCAAAGGGCTTTAAACAACACCAGACGATGAAAAATTATCTTATCTAGCGAAATAATCAGTCATTTCAAATAAATAAAAAAGTTATTAGTTTTATAAGCACAAATTTGCCTTGCACTATGTGATGTCAATGTGTGTTTGTGACTCTCCTGTTCGAACTCAAAAATCAAAATGAATGAATCTTTTTTTGAGTCATTTCGTTCATTCAATAACCCCTAAAAGTGAACTAATCCTTTAAGCTAAATTAGCTTGTTAAATGTCCCTAATTCTGGTGCAACGGTGTCAGAATGACATAACACATGCAAACCCATTATATTAAAACAAAAATCTTTTTAAGAACATGTTGTCTCGGTCTACCTGTCCATGTAGGCCTACAATCTGTCTACCTTTAGACATGTAATTTATAAGTTCAATTCACAAATGAATTCACAAACATGTATGAAAAAAATGCATAATTGATAAAGCTGTTACATTTTACATATTGTGCAAAACAACTAGACTTATTTATTGCGATAGAGCTAATAGGCCTACTGTTTTTTTTAAGGAAACACAACCTATTCACTTGGATACAGTCAATTTTACATACCTGTGGCAACAGCAAAATGCCCCTTGAGTTCAGTTAGTCATCAGTATAACACTATCACTCTGGCAGATCTCATGCAGTGCCACAAAAGTCTCAGACAATAAACACAAATTGTGTTTATTGTCTGAGACACTTGTGGCACTGCATGGGATCTGCCAGATCGCCTTGATGACTTCACAATCAATCACAAATCAGCATCTAATTAAGGTACCAGTTGCTCAATTAGTCAACAAATATTTTTTTTAAAGTGAAATTGTAAGTGTAGACCATGTAAAAGCTGATTGCATGTTTGAAGTTGATTGAAAAGTGTGAAAAGGTCATGTTCTTTTCTGCTACAGAGTCATGTTTAGTAGCCTACATCATGCAGTACACAGGTTTCAGAAAGGGTATTGTAGTTGACTAAAACTAAAACCATAAAAAAAATTCTCTAGGCTACTTAATAATGATTTAATGTTAACTGAAATAAAATATCACATAGCCTTATTATTATTACTAAACCATTACTGAAACAAAATAGGTTATAATAGCTTGACAATTGACATTAACACACATCAACCCACCACATTTGTTTGGTTGAATTTTATATATTATATACAGTTAAACAGGGCATCAGAAATAATAAACTAAGTGCAATGTATGTTGTCAAAAATATAGATTCTTCTATATCAATACTGAAATATCTGAAACGCTTCCAATACTCATTTTCACACATAAAATCTCCTCGGTACTAAATTGAGTTATTTTTCACTGCTTATGCACTTTAACAGTCAAATACACACAAACTAATGTCAAAGCAGGTTTTGGCGAGTATTCACATGAACACAGTTATGTTTTAAGTTGGATGGAGATTTGTGGGATGCACCAGGGCAAGAAGCTCCTGTTCCATCACATCCCAAAGATGCTCTATTGGGTTGAGATCTTGTGACTGTGGGGGCCATTTTAGTACAGTGAACTCATTGTCATGTTCAAGAAACCAATTTGAAATGATTTGAGCTTTGTGGTGCATTATCCTGCTGAAAGTAGCCATCAGAGGATGGGTTTGTTACGTAAGAGAAGAGTCATTTAATGACTGAATCAACGTGTTTGAACCAAGATAGCAAGGAATCTAACGAGGCCACTAAAACCACGCTATGACAGATATTGACAAATTCAGTAGAATTAATTATTTTATTAAAATAGTCCAAATGTCGTTTTAGAATTAAAAACCCACTTATACTCACAAATTTATGGAGATAAAACGCAAAAAGGATATTTAATTAAAGAAATAAAAAAAAACATTGGCATTTTTGCTAAAGAATATGACTTTTTCTTCTTTTTTACATGGGCTGCGTTGGGTGTGTTTTTGCAATCATGACGCACGCATCGAGTAATGATCGATTGAGATTCCTCCCGTTTAACGGGAAAAGTACTGTTATTTCACTGCCATGTGCACGATGCAGACTCTGCGTATCTGGGCTCGCTCTACATGCCTGCCGGTGAGGGACGAGGAGCAGGTGATGCTGGATGGAGACTGTCGCCTGGCAGCTTTCAACGCTGCAACTCACACCGCAGCGACGTGTTATATTGTTCACTATCATCATCATCAAGTTATCTGGCGCTTTCCTAGCGAAAACAGTCAGCAGCATCTTTAGAAAATCATTCATCCATGTTATCCTGATGACTCGGCTTGGAACCTCCCACTAGGGATACGGACTATTTATACCGCGTGCAGCATCTCGAGCCTTCTGATACGCGAATCCAAAAAAAAAAAAAAAAAAAAAAAAAACCCGCTTCTGAAGATCGTTCGCTTGGAGGTAAGAAAATCACTATTGAAACGTCTTTATTACCATTCCGAATATTAGTCTGCGACTGAAATGTGACCTCAATTATGCAGAAAAATATCAAACATCATATTCGCTTCTGATGTTTTGACACGCATTTGTCAGTGTTGTAATTTTATCTCAGTGTTGTAATTTTAGCAAAAGATTAAAACAACTCCCATTCCTGTGCTCTAAAGGAAGCTGTTTGGTAGCTACTCAGAATTGTACGAATAGATAGGCCATGAAGACAAAAACAGAGGCTGAAGCATTTTTTTTTAACATGCACGTTATTTAAATGTACTTATTCAGAGAAAGTAACATAACTATCACTCCATTAGTTAATATCTGAAATTAGTGTTGTCCTAACTGTTAAAACGTTCTAAATGATTTTTTTAAAAAACAGTATGCATTTTTGCCAGTATTTTCAGTGTGCACCTACTATTTTAGGGGTGTAAAAACTTATACACAACAGCATATACACTTGCTTTCACAGACACGTGCACGCATGTACAGTACTCACACTCAATCTAGATTCCAGTCTAAGCGTTAAACTCACTGATAGCCTGTCTGAATGGCACACACAGATATAACATTAGCTATGTACTCTCAGTTATAAGATGCTTATTAAGTATAGTGTATCCTGACATGTCTAATGTTTTGGTTTCCCATCATGTAATAACAGATATCAGGTTTTAAGAATTTAAACAACTTGAATATAGAGATTTGAATGTCTAATGTCAATGAAAAAAAGTACAGCAGCATACAATTCTATTGACTTAACTTATTATCTACGGTTTAATGCAGCTGGAACATTCAAAATTGGCATTGGCTTTGTTAAAAGAGATTTATATCTGAAAAAAATAAAATAAAATAAACCTGTCAGAATCAAGTATTCTAGTGAAAGCAGCGCAATACACGTTATGAGGATTAAATCTTTTTTGAAAACAGACAAATGAGTGTGAAAAAACAAGGGAGCACTGGTCAGCCCATGTGAGTACCCCTTGTAAATGTGGTCAGGAGACTGTTAAATGGGGCAGTGGGGTGGAAATGCCAGTTCCAAACCCTGCCAATGCTTCCCTCCACCCCATACACACCCCGTCCCGCCATTCTCACACCCGGTTATGGCTGGAATCCCACGCACTCTCTCTGGAAAGAGTAAACAACCTGGGTCAAAGAAAAACAGGTTGGGACGGGTGGCTGCGATGTGCCGACTGTCAGCATGCCAAGCCTACTTTTTTTTTGAAAAACATAAACATGGGCAGCATGGATTATAGGCCAAACTGAGGTGTAATCAGGGGGGATTTACACCCGTCAGGTCGAGACAATGAGTGTGCTCATATAACACTGCCTCACTCCATAAAACAGATTATGATTTGCTTTTGTCAGGAAGCTGTGGCAGTGCTAATGCTAGCATTAGCACTGCAGGGTAGTGTTTGAGCAAGGCCATCTTTGCGTACATAGTCGGTGACATTTTTGTTATTAGAACCTTTTGCATATTTAAGATATGACAAGAGGGGAGAAATTGCTGTACATTTGGTTCTGTGGTTAAAACACTTTCATACATTCTAAGCTTTTACGTGGAAAAGAAATAGCTTGTAAATATGCAACAACACATCAAAATAGACTTGTGTACACTCAGCAATCATTCTAAAGCTTAAAACAAAAACAACAATAGACCGGATAAAAGATTTAGAAAAGAATTTTCAGGCTATCACAAGTTGGTTACCATGTATTTGTTGTGCATTAATCAATTTCAGATATTCAGTGCGAGTAATAATATGCAAACATCACAACACCATAAGGTACTATTTTAAAGTGGAATGGTTTCTATACAAAGGCTGTTTTAGCAAATATCCACCTATATGGCATTACTGTAAGATGCTAATATGTTGCAGCCAGGATTCATTTGATGTTGATTGACAGATGTCTTTTTTTTGTGTGTGTGTGTGTGTGTTTATCAGTGCCAGCTCTAATTCTGGCTACCACTATGCCTCTGCTGGAAGAAAGTTCCGTGCCGAGGGACTGTACTCGAACTGTGCCAGTAGTCATCATTGGTGAGTCATCAAGGAGCAAACATTATCAGATGAATGAAAGACGGGTGTTTACAGCATCAACCAATCGTGATGGCTCTTAGTTAGTATGGATGTAAAGAAATATTTCATAATAATATTGTATATTTAAGAATAAAAGATGCACAAAAATATTGTTACCTTCTCTCCCATCTCCCCTTCACAGGTAATGGCCCTTCCGGAATATGCTTGTCATACCTTCTCAATGGGTATACTCCTTATTTAGATCCCATGGCTGTGCACCCAAGCCCCATCCTCTTTCGTAAACTACAGGAAGCCAAGCATCTTCCTATCACTGAACAGGTACAAACATGAGTGGTGAAACAGGTTGTGGAGTTTAACTTAGAAAACTGTGAACAATTAAAACAATCAAAAACGTTACACAGTCAACTGTGCAATAAACCTATTGCCCGCTGTGTTGTCTTGTAGGATTTGGAGTATCTTTGCGAAGGTTTAGAGGGGCGTTCAGGAAACCCTGTGGCAGTGCTCTTAGACACACTCCTCCATCCAAATGCAGATTTGGGCTTTGAGTTCCCCTCTGTACTGCAGTGGAGGCTGGAAAAGAAACATCACATTCCTCATCTGGTCTTGGGCAAAGCTACACCTGGCGGTGCATGGCACGTGAGTGATACTTTTGTAATAGTAGGGCTTATGCTCTTCAAAAAAAATAATAATAATAATTGAAAAAATAACCTTCCCTAACTGTAAGGTTAGCTTTGAGAATGTTCTGTCATGCTAGTTATCCAATACAACTTAAATTATGTGAAGAAAACCTGGATAGATATTTTTTGTCTAAATGTCCTTCTTTGACAAACTATGTCCCTCTGGTCTCCTAGGCAATGGAAGGTTCGATGCTGACCATTAGTCTTGGTATATGGATGGAGTTACCAGGAGTCAACTACAGAGATTTGACTCTGGGCAAACGGAAGTATGCACTATGGAGGAGAACTGCATACATGATTAAGGCAGCTTCCATTAGTACAGGGATGTCAAGTCCCACTCTTGGAGAACCAACTTACTGCAAAGTTTAGTTACAACCCTAATTAAACACACATGAACTACCTTGTCAAGGTCTTCACTATTGCTAGAAATTCCCAGGCAGGTGTGTTAGAACAAGTTGAGGCTAAGCTCTGCAGGAAGGTGGGCCTCCAGGAGCAGGATTGGACATCTCTGCATACGTATTTCTCAATGATATCACGGGTCTTATCAAACAGAAATATGGTCTAATTTTTGTAATGTTTTAGTAGGTTCTGAGATTGATGGGTTCCTTTGTGCATCTGTGTGATTTTCTCACAGGGTGGTGTCCAATGATCGAGCCACTCCAGATGAGATCTCCTCCTACTACAAAAATTATGTCAAGCTCATGGGTCTCCAGAAGAACTTTGTGGACAATACCCATGTCACCTCTGTTCAAAAACTTCACCGCAGTCAGGAAAGCAGTATTGGGAATGAAAAGGACACTGTAAATGGTCAATTGAATGGTGTGAAAAATGGGTTTGATAATTGCAATAAGAATAGCACAGAGAACGGTCAGAATGGAGTGGGAAATGGGTTTAGTAATGAGTCACAAACTGGAATGGAGAATAGCATTAGATGGGGAGAGATTGGGGAGGAAGATGAAGATAAAAGAGGCAAAGAAGGAATGAAAGAGACTACTGGGGCGCCCCAAGGGCTTTCACAAGGACTCTGGGAGGTCAGGGGCTACCAACAGTTCCAAGGTGACACTCATGTCCCTTTTAGCTTATTTGCAGAGAATGTTGTCCTAGCAACAGGGGCATCTGACTCTCCAGCACGATTGGGAGTAGAGGGAGAGGATCTCCCTTATGTGTTTCACAGTGTGCGTGACCTTGGGGTGGCTGTCAGCTGTCACGGCAAACTGGGCTCTTCCTCTGACCCTGTGTTGGTAGTGGGGGCGGGGCTTAGCGCAGCTGATGCAGTGCTGTGTGCCCTGAACCACAGGGTCTCCGTGTTGCATGCATTCCGAAAGTGCACTGATGACCCAGGTCTCATCTTTAAACAGTTGCCAAAGACGGTTTACCCTGAATATCACAGGGTCTACCACATGATGTGTTCCCAAATTTACCCAGCATCTCCTGTTGCAAATCCAACAGCTCCAAGTCCATCTTTGTTTCCCGACTACACCAGCTTCCCTGAGCACTGTGTGCTCTCCTTCCAGCCCGACATGCACTGTGTGATGAAGGGATCCAATGGTGTCCTTAGAGTCTTCAAAGTCTCAATGGTGCTAGTTCTGATCGGGACCTATCCCAACTTGTTTTTCTTGAAGGACCAAGGGCAGTACCTTGGCTTGGATCCCAGTAGGCCAATCTCCTGCAGACAGAATCCTGTCGACATAAACCCTTACACCTTTGAGTGCAATGCTGAGCCTGGGCTCTTTGCTATGGGACCCCTTGTTGGTGACAACTTTGTACGCTTCTTGAAGGGTGGCGCTCTTGGCATTGCTAGCTGTTTGCTCAAGAGACTGAAACAGAGGCTGAAGAAAAACAGGAAATTGATCGCCGATGAAGGAGGGTGTGGAGGACGGGGAAGAGAAGGAAGTGGGGGTGGAGGAAGAGGATTTGTCTAAGGCTGTTTCATGACAGTAGTCATCTTGGGATGTATGCAGTGAATACTAATGAAACTTCAACTTTCCTTCCACCTCTAAAATAAAGTACATATAAAAATTGAGCAGAAGCTAGGAGAAGCTACTCTCTTCCCAATGGAGTCTTATGTGGACTCTTATAAAAGCATTTTTTTTTTTTTTTTTTTTGCTGGTCAGAAATACAGTAATGTGCCAAAATGTCTGTCATTTAAAGTCTAGATGGAGTACACTTTACCTCTTGTTGCTGTCAGTTGCCTTGCTATTTGTAATTAGTAATCTGCTCTTACATTACATCACAGACTGCATATCTCACATTTAATGATCAAAGTGCCTAAAGGGCTGTTCAAAATGATAGCGATTTGTAAGCATCAAAGCAACTGAACATCATTCATAATTGGCGTCACAAGCAACAGACTGTTGCTGTTGAGAAGTGACGAGGTTGAGCAGAGCAAAGAGAAGCACCTTCAGTGAAAGTGTGAGAAGCAGCATAAGTCAAGGAGGAGTCTTTAGCAACAGAGACAGAGAAGTTTAACTGGACAAGTTTGGTATTTATAAGGATTACTGCTGAAAGAAAAAAAATATTAGGAGGCCATTTTGTAAGACCTGAGCTATGTGTATCTTTTCTATCAGACAAGATCCAAACCAACTTTACTCTTAACAAGTGCCAAACCTACTGTACATTGAAATTTATAGTAACCATGGTGTGTCTCAGTCGCTAAGGTATTTTTAAGTAAAATAGTTAAATAAGGATTTTCTGATCAGAGAATTCAGATTAATCCGTGTGATATGGTTTGCAACAGGCGTTGACTCCTTAATAAGGTATTTCACAGTACTGAATACTAGTGAAATGTTTCATTTCATAGGTATCTATAGTGCCAAATAAATGTTATAATGCTTTAAAATAATAACTTCTAAAGCATAACGTTTTCACCTCAGCCATTCATACTGTAAGTTTAGATTGCTGAGAGTATCCTTGTGTGGAGTGACAGTTTAGACCGCAGATTTCATCTAAAAACATGAAGGTACACTTGAAGGAACCAAAGCATAAGACAAATCTGAGCTGAAAGAAATACGGAAAGTGCTTTAATTCAGTGCAGAATGGTTGAAGCTGCTTCACAAGGAGATATTAATACAAGGAAGAAATATAACTGCTCAATTTTTTAAAACTTCAACATTTATTACATATAAGTTTTGTACACAGTATTTTTATTATAGACAAATAAATCTCTAATTAAAATGGATATGTGTTTTGCTTGGCAATCTTATCACAGATATTTACCTTATGAACATTGAGTGAGTATTACGAACATTATTATCTTCTCTTTGCAGGTTTAGGGTTGTACCTGAGAGAAAAAGAGAAAAACAAAACAGATTCAACACAAAAGTAACTTATACAGTCCAACCATCATTCCCAGAAAGGCCCATTCCTGCCCCATTACTGCCAAACGGTGACAATTAGTAACTAATGTCTGAATGATTGAATAACTGAGCAAATTGATATAAACTGGTATGCACTAAAAACCAAACATTACTTAAAAGTCGCCAAACCAGACATCCCCTTCCATAAAACATGTCTGGGACACTTCATTAGCCTGGGGGAGGGAGCTGGAGCAGATTTTAGAAAAACAGAGGTGCCGTTTTCTTTTCATTCTTATTTTCTGTGTGATGTTCCCACCCCATGCATGACTGGCTGAGCTGATTCAGAGATCAAACAGTTGTGTTGGACACAACCACACAGCCGTGACTGCCTGTTTGAGGGCAGAGTGTGAGTTTTTCTGCTTTGGCAGGAGGTTTTTTCTGCTTTTCTGCATTAGCCAGGTTCAGTCTCCAGGCAACAATTCTGTGCCTGACAAGGCCCAACCCTTCTTTTTTATCTAAGAAGATGCAAGCCTAAAGGCTCGGCCAAAGAAGCATACTTTTAAAAGGCTTGCGCACGGAGCGGAAAACAGAAAGTTAAGTATACCCGGGCCTTAAGACACAAAATGGTGGCGACATTTCAGTTGTATGAGGACAAAGTCTATGCCAATATCTGAAAGTAAAGTTATGCCAATTATTTGCATTCCATATATATATATATATATATATACACACACACACACACACATTTGATATGAGTGAATCTACCAAAGAAATAATCTAAGACACTGACCACTAACTTAAATCATCACTTTATTTTCTGTCCTAATCACTTAGTGTTTAATCAGCAAGAGCTTGTTAGAAATATCAACGGGTCATCACAGCCCAGCGTGACCTCAACTGTGAACAATGACTTAAAAGCAGTTGGGAAATCATTGACGTCATATTTTCCAAGCGTGCTCTGCGAAAATGAAGGATCTGCTAAAAGTAGAAAACACCCACTTCAAGAACTCATGCGTAATGCTGTGACACTGGTGTATCAGACCTGGTAGCTTATCAGCAGCCTGAACACACAGTTGATGAGTTCATGAATCAAGTTAATAAAAAGCGTGACTTTACGAAAGAAACTTTCTGCAGTTGAGTGAAGTTTTCAAAGGTATTTCAAAGCTGTAGAAGTCTACCGCCAAATATCTGAGAGCCTGTCTGACAGAGGATTCAAAGTGGGGCACGATACTGGGAATCGGATCCAATACCTTCTTCTGCCTAGCCTGCCTCAGTGCGTAACGCTATCCCGTTGCTTAAACCGGTCTCAGCCAGTCCACTCCAGGCTAAGCCCATAGTGTGTCAAAACAAAGGTTATTGTCTCATTGTGAGACTTGATATCTGGGGTCAGAGGTCAGTGTCTTGTTGAATGTAGTGTTAGTTTAGGCAGGTGGCGACTGTCTGCATGAGTGAGAAATGGACTGGGACCAGACAATCTCAGACAGGGTTCAAAAGAGCGATAAATTGCTTACGTCCCACTTGACGTCACTCACTTGATTATGTCTGTTTGATCTATGTCCCACCCCCCCCATCCATGTCTGCACAATCACATAGACCACATACCTGAACAAATCTTCTCCCAAAATCTCCTCCCGTTCATTCTGTTTTTCCTCCTAAAAGAGAGAGAATATATGTCAGGGTTTGGCAACCACTAGTAAGGTTTGAGGTAGTCCTTCTTCTAATTCACAAAGGATTGCCGTAAAACAGGTTTCTGTCCGTACAATGTGTATGACGTCATTGACATGTTAAAAGACTTTTTAAAGCAAATAAGTGACTCTAAAAAAAAAAATCGAGCACCCAGTAATGTGTAAATTTTAGGGATATAGCTCCATAGACCTCGATTCATTCTGCACTTGTCCTGTGAGCACCCTCATATGGACCCAGAGTAGAACTGCAACCAGTTCAGAACCCGGAAGTTTAATGTGAGTTTTTACTGTCACTTTTGATCAGATGCTTTAATTTCTTAATAAATGGTTATTGCACAGTGATTAACAAGGAAAATCAAAATGTCATTTCATGACAAAAGGCTTTCACACCCTGGCAATCATCTGTATAAAATAGCATTTTATATGGTATGATAAGCATAAAGCTTTGCACAAGAGTAACTTGAAGGGACAATGTGTACTTTTTTAGGTATTTCATTATCTAAAATCAATAGTTTTATTCATAAATATGTCCTCAATGGTGCACAAATACCTCTGCCAATTATCTGACTTATCCTCGTAAACAAAGAATTTATTATCTTTATATACATGGGATGGGTAGATCCAAGGAGGCTTCCATGTCGTTCCCCCATCTTGAAAAACTATAATAGCAGAGAGGGACAAAAAGTGCTAGGCCAACATGTTTCCACAACGAGTTTTCATTCAGAGCCAGCGTCACGTGACTGAAAGCAGCAGAAACGGAGGAGCAGAGCAGTGAGAGGCGCTTGTCACTGCCCTGGCAAGTTTAAGGCTGCATTGAACTGTTATTTTAATGTTGGACCATAAATATGCCAAGCCACAGGAGAAGGAATCGCCAAAAAAGTAAAAAATTTAAGGGACGCTGAAGTTACTTTCTTCTCAACAGTCAATGTTATGGCCTAAATTGCAAGCTTTTTTTATTGCTTGGTTGTGTAATTCATTATATAGGCAGCAGCATAACAGTAGAACATGTAATCTTGATGAAGTGCAATTAGAAGACATCCTGTCATAGCTTTCTGGTACATAACGGCTAACGTAGATGAAACACATTTGAAAAAGCGAGGTGCTGGAGAGCATAATTCGCTTGAATACAAAATACAATTACACTGATAGATGGGAAAAATTACACAGTGTCCTACACAGTGTCCCTTAAACCTACACAGTGTCCCTTAAACCTACACAGTGTCCCTTAAAATTATCTAAGGAAAAAAATTATGCAAACTACTGTTTCAAAACAAGCAAAAATACAAAAAAAATTACAATCTTTTTTTTTTATCTCTTTCATGCTATACTTTAATGTCATGAAAGGCAAAATAACACCCCTGCTAAATGGTCAATGAAAAACAGCAGCCATTAAAATATATATATATATAGTATATTTATTATAAAAATTAATGATTAAATAAGTGATTTTAAATATAATTGAGCTTAAAAAATACTAAATAATCAAATTCTTAAAAAAAGGCACTATTAAACATCCAATAACAGGCAATGCCATAAATATAATACAATCTATGTATAATGCCCATTTCCCATGAATTGTTGCCACTCATTTCCTTGCTTCTATGGTCTCTCACCTCTGTTGCCTGTTTAAGCCATTCCTCCAGTTCCGAGTTCTTGCTGCGATTGTGAGCCACCAGATCCGAGCCTCCAATAATGTTGGGCAGCCCATTAAATCCAGGGACATTTGCCTAAACATGCACACACAGAAGAATCCATTTAAATTGTCATATACACAGATAAACAGACACTGTGATGCTTTGCGATAATATTACAGAAGCGTGCATGAGACACTCGCTCAGACCTTGCGGAACGTTTTGACATTTTTGGCATTGGAGTCACGGGTCTGTAGTGGGCCAGGTCTTGATCTGGAAGAGGAGGTGCTCACAGTCAGGGACTTAAACTGAAGCTGTATGAGACTCCTAGGCAGCTCAGCATCATTCTCAGATCCAGTTTTGGAGGTTGAGGCCTTTAGATCAACAAAGATTTTATTACACCAACAAGGTTACAAAACACTGAGGGAAAACAGGGTGAACATTGTGATCATGACCATTGTGAAACCCCGAAAAGATCGCTATTATTAGGTAGCATTGGTCAAACCGACTCACAATAATGTCTGTATTTAAGCCTCTCACCTGCACTTCCTGATTGGCTACACTCGCACTGTGTTGAGAAATGCCAATTTGAGTCCTTGAATTCTGAAAGAAAAAAAAACAAAAACATTACTAGATGTTCTATAGATAAAAACAAAATATATTTATGAAAAACAAATGATGGCTGTCTCCGTACCACAACAAAAGACACTTCCTCCTCTTTGACGTCTTCAAGTTCTGGTCTTTTCCCCTTGTTTGCTGACCCATGTGCCGCCAGATCTGGCGTTTGATTGGGTGGCTGCTTTGACTGCCTCTCTGAGCCCTGATTTGTTGAAGCTGGGCCTGTTCTGTCCAACTGCAAGTTCTGAATGTTGTTCCTTGTGTCTTTTCTGCTTTTGGACTCAGTGCCCTCTTGCTGATTGGGCAATTGTGGATTACTGCTTGTGCGGTTCGGTCCCAACTCAAGACGTTGTTTTTTATTAGCTGCAGCACATGGAGGCTCATCCATCTCGTCAGACATTATGGATTCAAGCTCTTCAAGTGACATTTCTAAATCAGCAGCTGCATCAGGTTCTTCAGGGGCTGATGGGACGTCTAGCTCTGGTTCCTTCCTCTTTTTGCTGCCAGAGTTTTGACTGGACCCACAAGCCTGACCCAGACTGGCACTGAACTCAGATTTTGACACTGAGCTGTGTTGGTTTTGGGCAGAGGAATTTTGCTGGATTTCGTCTTTTTTATTTTCACAGTCTTTTCTGAAGATTTTGATCTCTGACTGGATAGAATTGGCACTGTCTTCACGGGGCCTGCAATCATAAACGATACATAATCATAAAATAGTTCAAACGTCATGCAACCTTTCAATATGAAAATTGAAAATACTGTCACAGGACCCTGTACACCTGGTTTTAAAGT